TACTATATTATCCTACCCAGTGCCTACCCTACATACTACTGAAGTCTTTCGACACAACATTCCTTCGGGTCAAGTGTAATAGCTCTAGTTACTAGTTTATATGAGTCTTTAGTTTGAGGATATAAAATGACAGTAGGTAGAAGATAGATTGTTAAACTTACTCATTAATATTGAAGATGCGAACGTTGTTCTAGCTGTTTCGAAGGGTCAAAGTGGTAAAATAGACCATTTGGTACGTATTAAGTAAAAAAACGATAAGGTGAGTCGCATTGGTCGTGCCTGGTGTAGTCGTTCTCAAATTGAAAGTGGCGCTGTTGTCCCCGACCTCTCGTCCTGGCCTCTTGCCAAGAAGCCCGGTCGATTCGGTGCCCCCTCGCGCGCGGGGTGAGGGCATCGCCTGGGTAAGGCTCCAACCGAAACCTGTGTCTCGACCTTATTTCCTAACGGATGTTTCTTACTTTCGGTTTTAATGCAGCTTTAATTCCTGCCGAAGACCTCGAAGCATAGTTGCCCTAGAATCGAAGCAACATACAAAACAGATTTGGCTGATTGGATCGCATCTCTATCCACTGGTCTACATACTAATTACCTTTTAATGGCTGTACAGTCGGAGGAGTACTGTGGAATTTCGTTAATGATATTTAGTGAATCCTGTAATATCGAAGTTCAAAACAGGCGTTACATCACAAAAATACCCTCTGCTATGTGACGTAGATATTCCATCCCCCAGCAGCCGTGCGTAACAGCGTAGCAGCGTGAAAAAGATTACGTTACGTAATAGTTGTTATTTATTTCGTTTTTACACGTTTATCTATTTATTTATACGTGTATTGATGTATGTGGCTGGCATTGGAATTTATTTATTGTGAGGAACAATTTGCTGATATATCAATATTTTACCAAAACTTATCGGTTCAAAACCGATGTACACATCAACATGCCTACATGATCTTTGGAGAATCGTTCTGTGCGCTGATGTCTGCTCCGATGTTTCTGCATTATATACAGCAGGATGTGGTATGAAGTTTAAGAAATGTGAAGTGTCATATCTGGATGGCATAAGCTTAATCACCTTTCTGCATAACCCAGTAGAACTTGCAATTTGTAACACACAATGTACGACATGTTGACCTCTCCATTTCGTAAAGAAACAGCTTGAAATAACGGACTATATCTGGTATAAAGCCAAACACGCTCCGTAGGAACGGTCTTTGTCCAGTTCATTGAACGTTGAAATATACACAAATTCACATTAGGTCGAGATGGGTAGTGCAGTTTCTCACTGCGGAACAAACGTCGATGTCCCTAAGGTGTGCGCCGGCGGTAAAGCGCTTACGCCGACTTTTGCCTATAAAGTGATACTGGCTTTCCAACTGTTCTTTCAATTACATATGTTTTGTTGTGTATTAGGATAAAGTTAGTGTTCATTTGAAATTGTTATCTTGGAACGTATGTATTAATTCGGCCAGATCATTTGTTTCGTAAAACCATAAATTCGTATTCAAATGTCTTAGTTTAGCCGAGATCGTTCAGATATCAACCACTGGTTGAGGGTTAACGATCACCTCTTGGACTAAACCGGAATCACCGACATCAATATCCCGTTTCAGGACATAATTCCTTGCCAATTTGGTATTCCTATAGCTTATTTCTATATCCATTGTCCAGGTTCAGTAGCGAAACTTATCTGAAAAGCCTGCATTCACTAAGCCGATTAGTTTACTCTTACATAGATTCGATAAAATCGGTCCTCGTTGGATCCATCGTGCTCGTGCTTTTTGTTTGAGGAGGCGAAAGCCAAAATATTTTTCAAAAAAGGCTATACATACCGCGTGTTTTTTGTATGTTATTTTTAAAATCAGCAACTCATTTTTTTATTTGTAAAATATTTGGTGGATTGTATAGTAGCTGATTTATTTTTTTACTGATACCAGTTTTATTCCTTGTCAAATGTATGTATGGGGTGGTCACTTACTTAGAAGTTTCTTCGCTATTTTATATTTCCATATTTCCTCACCATTTAAACCTTCCCTGGTCTTCCACGATTATTTCTAGTCCAAGAAAATAGGCAAATCGGTTCAGCCGTTCTCGAACTATACCAAAATAAACCAACTGCAGTCATTTTATTTATAGTTTATAAATACAATATTTTGTAAGGATATTTGTAATGTAAGTTGATCTACGTAACGGACATCTCATATCTCAAAATTTTTTTTTTTATTTTGTTTCCAGTCGCCTTCACGGACAGTAAATTTATGTCAATTCTATACTTTTTTAGGTGACTTCCTTTCTTCTATTAGAATATAAATTGTAATAAACTACCCCTGCTCTTGATTTACAAAACAAATTGAAACAAATCTTAATCAACAAATCTTATCAAACAAATCTTATACCATATTACCAATCTTGCTACACCACAGACGTCGCGAGCGCGTATAACGGACATTATTTCGTGACCGCCGCTTCTTTGAAATTTTCGTAGGATACGGCCCAATACGGTACATGATTTCCGAATTCGTCGCCTCTCTGACGTTGACAGACGGAAGTCTCTCCAGTCCCTTCCCAGCGACCGCTTTTAACTTAATAAAACTTCACATTATCTAAAGAGGCCACATTTTATAAATGGTCAATCGGCCTATTCCATTATTCGTACAGTTTCCACATTTACAGAATATTTGTTATAGGACATAGGTATCTATTGTAAAGCTCTTTGTAAGTATAAAAAGTATATGATTTATGGATATTTGTCATTTAAATTAATGGCCAATCTACCAATGAAAATGTCATAAAATGCAACTCCTGATTGTGTTTGCACGTTGCTTGCGTTAAATCAACAGCGGTCAATTGAATTGGGACAGGATCGCCATAAATCACCGGAATCATACTATTTCAATTTTATTACTTCACACTTAAAATATCCAATCCTGTAAATGTCTATCTATACAAATCTAAAAAGGGTCACCTTATTTTGTAAATTTAATTTAAAACCTGGCTATAATTAGATTTCTGAGGGCTTTCCTTTGACTAGAATATCAAATATCTATTGTTAGCTAACCAAACCAGTTATCGGTTGGGATATTTGACTCTGCTCTTTGTTAGTGCTATCTAAGGCTTTATTTCTTTATAAACTTTTGTCCATGAAACAAGACCTTTTAAAGCATTTAGCTTACCGCACAGCGTATATCTAGCTTTAGTGCTGGTTAAAAGTTACACCTTACAATCTTTTCTTAACTAATATTTATGTTGCCAACGCGGCAACTGTCCTACGTGATTTAACTAACGAACATATGTAGGGCTCAAGCTACCTTTATGTCTAGACGTGTATTAACAAGTTTCGCTCTTGAACTACGTTTAATTTATCTTAGCATGTCTTAGACGATGAAGGTCAGGTTACTTCCTACTCCCCGTCCAATTACTGATAGTGTCGAGCTTTGCTTACCGTGGAGGTGGCGACAAATTAATGCAATTACCGGGACTTTGTTGATGTTATAGGCAATTATCCCTGAAGTTTCTATTCGTGATTCAACTCCTTTATTTTATATTACCAACAGACTCGTCTTTGGTAGGTGTTGTTCGTACATAATAATCTAAAATGTAGCAGTGCCAAGCTTCGGCACGAATAGGTCTGCTCGACCGGAGTGATACAACGGCCTCACAGAAAACCGCCATGAAACTACCACAATGTACACAACGCTGTGATTGTTTCACGCCATTTTCGCCTTGTGTGTGAGGATACCGGAGGCTCAATCCTTCCCGCGCCTCCCATCCTTTCCTATATATATTCTTAATATCCGAAATCCTTATATCCAAAAGAGCTTCAACGCACTCGTAACTCCTTTGGTGTTGCGCATGTCCATAAGCGGCGTCAATTGCTTACCATCAGGTAATCCGTCAGCTCGTTTGCCGAACTATCCAATAAAAAAATAAAAATAGGAAATATTTTTACAATGTTAACAACTTTAAAACTTCTATTAATCTGGTTTTCCTACAATATTCATATAACTTACGAACTAAAACAACCAAAATGAACCAGATAATAAAAGCGTGTTAAAAAGTAATAATACCAAATTGTACCTCAACTGCAACTAAGTATGTGTACAACTCTACTACTACGTGACGTATATTTTCCCTGTAAAACTTGTAGAAAAATGTGTATAAACAAAAACAAAATCCAAATTATTTTATACTTACTGCAACGTACGACGTTCCGTTCTTTATGATACTATTTATATTAGTGTTACTGATAATGTTGGTTGCTACTGCATTTTGAACACGAACCATCGAAGTTAATTAGGTCACTATATTTTTTGCGGTTTACCAACACCGCCGTATTACGTAAACATTTGTATGTATAACGCGAGCTCTTCTATTAATATATTCTGCGCGGTGGTCCTTTTTGTAATCAAAGAAGCAATAGAAAAGGGATTAGCTAGAAAAGTGCTAGGGAACAATAAAATGAAGACTGTTTATAAAAGTTCTTTTGAAAATCCCTAAGTTTAAAGCGATGTGGTCAAGTTCTTTCAGTTCAAAGCTTTGTGGCAACATTACTTAAGAAGGATTGGAAATTTTTCTGCACTAAGCGTGGATAAATGTTAGACCATTAGTCCTTGATTCTTGACGCGTCGATACATTGTTTCGGTCTACCAGGCTCACTTTTTCGCTTGTAACATACGTTTTAGGTTAGTTGCCAGTGTTGTACATATCAAGCTGTGTAAGAATGGCTTAAAACTTAATAATATTTTTCTGTGATGTTATTTTCACTTCACTGCAAAGTCAAATAAAGCGTAGGAGGTATAAATAATAATAAATGGATTTCTGAAAATACAATTTACGCTACACCGCGTGAATTAAAAGTATTTTATTAAAATCGCGAATGAACCCAAGCTATATTAAGAATGTTTTTTACTAATAGGTAGTTGGTATGTTGCAATAAATCTGAGAGAAACAATTCTTTTTCCTCACACGACATGTATGGGTACTACAAATTATATTCTCCACAGCATGGATGACATCGAGCTGAAGAATATCCAACTGCAGTTCCCAAGCGCTCGTCGGTTCAGCGGCGAGGGGGGATGCGTCGAGGTGCGCGTGCGCACCGACCGCGGCGACATCGTCGTTGCGGTACAAGGCCACCGCTCCAAGCCAGCGATCATTACGTACCACGATCTTGGACTGAACTGTAAGTACTCACTGACTTGACTTTTGCTTCGGACTCTACGCTCCTTGCCATCCCTTGGCCCCAAGCCAAAGACCGCTTTCTGCATGGTGCAAATATAGTATTTACCCTATATTTATTACATTTTCACGCGAATTGCATTTTACGTACCAGATATAGCAAAAATACATTATGCAGTATCATTGGCGTCTATTCAATTACAGAGATAAACAAATACTGCAGTATAATAGTTTTAGTACCTAAGTTGAAGAGCTATTGACCTGCAGGTCCATCCACTAGATTTAACGCAAGCAGTTCGATGAAGTGTAAAAAGAATAAAAATATTAGACGTCACAAGCAAAGTATAATCCGAACTTCGCTGCATTCAATAGGTGCATGTGTCCCTGATTTAAAGATCAGTGTAATGTGTTCAACGTGCAGTTATTGTGTTGTGGAACGATATTGTATTGTTGGCCGTAATAGCAGCAATCGTCGCACGCGCCTCGCTAGTGACCGTGGCCCTGGTCAGGATTACGAGTGCATCCTCGTGTAAACAATTTATCTCTTCGAAACCAGGCTTCGGATTTTAATTTACTTTAAAAACAAAATCCATCTTAACAACTAACGAACCATTTAATTATATTTTATCACGTTTGTGTTTAAACATAATTAAATTACCCTTTGAGCTGCGTGCATCTGAGAGGTCTTTAAAAAGATCCCGTGTTTTCCGCTTACCGACGTGTTTACTCTTAGGAAACAGCTTTTAATGGTTAATTAAAGTTGCCACTAACATCTGGAATTAGCTCCGTATTTCTTAGCCAATCCCGATGTAATAAAACAACGATAGCCAACCATTTAATTCAGATGGAACTAAATGAAATAATTACCCTTCTACGTACACAAACGACTACACCAATAGAATGTGGTAAGATATTGTCAAAAATGTCCTCTATATTTTAAATTCTAAAATATATTGCATCGAGGAAGAGTTCATTAGCTCTCTGTAGCAGGATTAATTCTTTTAGTTTTTCGCCGTATTAAATGCTACGCAGTTCAATAACTACATTGTACATTTGAATTACTGTTGCATGAAGCAATGTCGGGTAGCAAGCATTTCTGATAAACTTTTCTTTAACCATGCGACTTTTTGAGTAAAACGATATTAGTAAATGATTATGTAAACGATTTATGAATCGATAACTTTACTTGGTGATGGAGGAAAAACATCAAATGACTTCTTTGGCCCAGGGCAAAGCGAGAGGGAGTGTCAGACTCTTACTGTCTATTAACCCCCCGTTCCTTCTCCTGTTTTCTGTGCTTGCTCCGTAACCCCGGCTGAACATTGGCAATGTCGGGCACAATCTCGTGTCCTATCATAGCTCGCCGTCCGCAGACCCGTGCTTGCCCGTCTTGCCGGAGATCGAGCGACGATCTCCGACGCCCTGAATGAAATGGTAGCTTAGCAGCAGCAGCTTTAATTTTTTTATCTAATAGGTTTTTTGAACACATTTCATGACCGTTATATATGGTAACTTATAGTTATCTTACAAGTAAATAACTATACAAAGCACTAACTGACTGAACGGTTTCAGTACTTTCAGTTTCACTAGAGGCAGGGTGAGCCAAGAGGTTACGAACAATAGCCAACATTAAATAATAATTGAATTGAGTTGAAATAAGGTTTTTTGTACTAAACTTTTTAACAATAAAGAATTAATTAAATGTAATTAAATCAACCTTGGAATTTCATTTAAGTAAATTTCAATGAAAATCTTGACGATTCGAGGCAGGTAATCAATCCTTCGTGACCGACAAAATTGATATTATTTAATTTTATTATACGTCTGCTATGGACGTCTGCCTCACAAAAGCCAGGTGAGGTCGTTCGGAAAATGAGATACATTTTTACGGCAGCTATGAATTTTCTGGTACGTTCTATAAATACTTAGTCGGGTCATAAGTTCTGTCACAAACTTTTGATGTAATAACTTATACGCCTTTTGACAATTATTTAAAAATTATATATGAAATGAAAGGTCATTAAATGTACAATATAATTTTATTTACATTATTCGAAATGCCCTCCCCCATTTTGAACACATGCCCTTAATCTACGCGGCCAGTCATCGATCGCTGCACGCACCACATTCATATCTATGTCTGCCGCTGCTTTAACCAGAGATGCTCGGAGAGACTCCAAATTCGGGTGAGGTTTAGCACAGACTTTTTCCTCCAAATATTGCCATATCTTGTAGTCCAGTGGGTTTAAATCTGGACTAGAAGAGGGCCAGTCTTCATGCCGGATGAAGTCAATTCCACGAGCGATCAACCAGTCTTGCGTACTTCGTGCCTTATGAGCCGGTGCAGAGTCCTGTTGGAATATCCAATGCCTGTTCCTGAACATTGTCTGAGAAAGAGGTTCCACTATGTTTGTTAGGACAGTATTTTGATAAACTTCGGCACTAGTTCTCACACCTTTTTCACAGAAAAACACCTCAGTTACGCCTGAATATGAGACTCCAAGCCAAACCATGAATGAGGAAGGGTAATGCCCACGCTGGACCCTCGCAATACGCGCGCTTGCTTCTTCACTGCTGTGGGCATACACCTTATCATTTTGTTTGTTAAAACTTTCTTCAATAGTAAAAATTTTTTCATCCGAAAAAAGAATTTCGCGGTATTTTTTTCCCGCGTACCGTCGTAGCAAAGCGCGGGATCTGTCTAGCCTAATTTTTTTTAAACGCTCGTTCAAAAAATGTCCTGTCTTTTTACGATAAGCTCGTAGTCCCAGGTCTTCATTTAGTACTCTTTTAACAGTGGTTCTGCTTAGCCCCATCTGCAGAGCTAGGATTTTTTGTTTACGTACGGGATTTCGTTCGATTCGCGCCTTCACTGCTTTGATGACCTTATGTGTCCGAACTGTGCGAGGTCGGCCGCTTCTCTTACGATCTTCGAAGCTTGACTCTTCGGTGTATCGTTTGATAGTACGATAAACAAACCGTAACGTTATTTTCAAATTTTGAAGAATATTGAAAATGTCTTTTGGCGCGTAACCACAGCGGTGCAACGCGATAACCGCGATTCTGTCTTCTTTATTCGACCACTCCATATTTAAAAATGAATAAAAAATAATTTCTTTTTTATTTTCTACAAGCGCGAAAGTTCTATTTTTAAAATAAGTCGAAGAATTTCTGGCCAGTAATCGAAAATTAAAAATATAAGGTTTTGACAGAACTTATGACCCGACTAAGTATATTCTTAGCAAAGCGAGAACGGTTTTGTGATAACATCATTTATATTACTCGTATACTCATTCACTGTATCAATATTTTCTTTAACAACAATCTCAGATGAAAAGAACATGAAAACTGAGTTAACATCTAACAATACGTTGGTAATGATATCTACCTAGGGCCACTTTATGGTGATTTTAGAACACTACAATCGAATTTATTCGGTAATAGGTGGAATAGGTAAAACGATAGAAATTTTAGTGCAAAGTCAACAAACCAAGAATCTAGACCCTCGTTGTTTTATTGATTACGTAAGTTTAGTTACGTAAGTTGCGTGCTACTTGAAAGTAAGGCGACGCTTCAGGTAGGTATTGGTACGTTCACTTGTACCCCACTGGCACAACTTTTGCTTCCTTTAGGATTCATGTTAACCAGCAGTCTAGATTAATATTGATAGATGATATTTTTATTAGAACATCCATAGTACCAAGTTGATTTATGATCGACTTTCTAACTTATTCTCTCCTTTACACTTTCGTGAACAGTTTGCTGCTAGAACTTTTTAATTCCCTCTTGTAGAACAAATTTAGCAATACATATTATATAACGGTCTAGTTCGTATGGACGCTATGTCCAGAAGCCAGCATCGTTAACGATGAGTTTGCTAGAACTCGCCCAGTTTCTATTAAGCTTTTTAATTGGCTCGGTATAAAACGTTAACAGAATATAAGAACATGTAATTGATTTGAAATCCTTACTTTATTGGTCTTACCTTCAATAGGGCAATTTTTCAGTCGAATTTAAGATTATGTTGTATGGTAATTATGTGGACAAAGAAGGCAAAGAGAGGCTAAGACTTTTGAATGTACCTAATGTAATTGCTATACTTCATAGTATGGATTTATGATGAATTGAATTATCCTTAAATATACATATACTCTATTTACCCTGACGAAAAAAGGTTTGTCTTCAGAAACTTTCAATTACGTGCGTTATAGATTGGCACAAAGAACCGAGACCGTCTGAACTAATTTATTAACTGCCCATGCTTCTGCAAAGATAGCTCGGCGAGAGGAATAAAGTTTACGAGGCGAGTTAATCAGTAGACGTACGAACGTACTTTGACTACTCACTACAAGCTCTTATTGACTTACAAATTCTCCATAAAATACGAAGTGTCCTTATGTAAATATAGTTTGGTCCTTAATACTGCAAAGTATTCCTCTTAATGCTTGTCATCTCAATATAATACGAGTATATTGTTGTATCGCCTACACATCTAAGTTCCTCTGAGAGTGTGCGTGGGCGCCTCCGGGGGTTTAATTTACATATACATACATACACACATACACACATTTTCGGCTAAAAATTTCTAAGTAAAACAATAAGAGGTCTTTGACGCATGTACATTCTTATCAATTCTCTGAATATTTTGCCTTATGAACATGAGGGAATTTGCAGAACTTCCTATGAATACGGACATTACAAACATGACAGTGACAACTATTCTTGCTAGCATTCGTTTTTATAATAAACAATGTCAATGTAATAACGTGTCAGCTACTTGCCATCTCGACTGCAGCCGCTTATTTCCGCAATAAAGCCTGTGCACAATAGACAGTGCAATATGGAAGAAGACAAACCAAACTTTATGACTTCTGCAATAACGGCCGACAACAATCATTAATCGAATAAAAAAAATAAAACATTTCAAATAATGTTCGAAAATCAACAAAGAATTAATTGGAAAATCCCTAGTTAGACAAAAAAGAGAACGCAAAATCTTATTGC